TCTCTCTCTCTCTCTCTCTCTCTCTCTCTCTCTCTCTCTCTCTCTCCAAGTTTTTTTTTCCGTCAAGAAATGTGAATTATTCGAATCATAAATTTCCAGGATAGAATTAAATCCCGCATTAAAGCCATTTTTGGACCTGTCATTTAGAATTGGCCTGCAAATAATGAAGGCTACTCGTAAGAGTCTGGTCTGAATTGTGCCATTACAATGCTGCAATGTAACGGGCCTCTGCCTGTAATTCTCTATTCGGGCGTCAATTGGCACTTGTCATATTCCATCTTTAGTGAGTAGAAATGTTCTGCTCACTGAAAGCCATGGATCAAGCAGAAATTATTAGGAAGTCATATCCTTAAGAACACTTTATATGGGTGCACTCAGGACCTTTGAGCTGAGAGCTTGGAGTTATATTTGTCACATTTCAGCCAAAGAATAATACTAATAATTCTATCTTACTTTTCACAAGTCAACTTGCAGTTTGTCCTCAGAAAATCAGCCTACATTGGAGTGGCCATTAGGCCGACAAAGTATCAGACTTATGGACTTTGCCATGGGTGTGTAGTTACTTGATGCCCCTGGGAATCGGCCCCATGTTCTGAGTAAAAAAAAAAGAAAAAAAGTTGATCAAACCTCTAAACGTTATTTTTAGTGGTACTTTTAATATTCCTGTTAAAAAATAACTACAGCACATGTGGGCTATAGCCTATTGTTAAATAATTGAAAAGGTACAAGTTGATTGAACCTGGCAGCCTAAAATACTTTTTTTGTTTTTTTAACATTTTATTAAGCCAATCTTTAAACCCACGTTTTTAGTTAGACGTGTAAAATATTTTGCAAATTACAATTGATGTCGAGGGGAAGAGAATCCTTATGGCTGTTGGATCAGTGTTGTCGAATATAATAAATAATACATCCTTCGTGAATTTATATCTATCTTCCAAATAAATACATGTGTTTTAGTTTGGTCTGTCCTTTTTCTTACAGCTCTAAAATCTATAAGATCTTGTGTGTTAAATGCTCCGCTACACCTTGCTGAACACTGATGTCTGCATATACAGTGTACAGGCCTACTGGATTACATTTCAAAGTGCATCACATGTTTAGGTGCTCTCACCCGCCCGTCCCCCCCTTTGAGTGGGTAACCTCATTCACTGTAGGCTACATATGTTTTAACCGTGCCTCTAAACGTCAGACTGAATATATCCAATATTTTATCCCATAATCTAGTTTGGACAGCTATTCACTGTCGATCTGGGCTTTTCTATCAGAGTTCACTTAAGCGGAAAAGGGGCCGTAGTTCCGCTGTATTTCTTTAAACATCTTGGACTTATTGTGGTGAAATGCTGTTGTCAGGTAACATTGTTTTGTTATGTTTCCAGTCTTTCTGGAACCACGGTTGAAAAAAAAAAATCTGGTTACTCTTACTTGTCATTGACTATAAAATGGTGAAGTGAGAACAAGATGTTGGTGAGATGTTCTGCAGTTCACCGGGTTTTTCCCTGCATGATGCACAGTTTATGCACGGATCTCCACGCCAAAGACGCGAGAGGGAACAGAAGCTCAGAGCAAACTTGATTGATGAAAAGAAGCAGATTGGCATGTTGTAGGAGTTCGTCAAAAATGGAGCAGACTTGTAAATTATTTGTTCAATTCCTTTGTGTGTAGGCCTATGTATGTGAAATATAGAGGGACGCCGAAAGGGAGACACTACACCTGCCAGAATGTGTGTGTCAGAGCCGAAGTATTTTGGTGTTATGTGTTGGTGTGCGAGAGGGATGAAGGCAGACAAGTAAAAAAAAAACAAGTGTAACAATGCATATACTGTTTGAGGATGTTTATTTGTAAGTGCAGGGAGAAAAGCAGAAAGAGAGAGGGACAAAGAGAGACGGTCAAAGTCCAGCTACTGAAGGGATGATGTCTGTTTTGTCTCCATGTATTTGTGTGTGTGTGTGTGTGTGTGTGTGTGTGTGAGAGAGAGAGAAAGGTAGCACGGCTGAGTGGGAGCTTGGCAGTGCAGCCCTGCTCTCTGTTTCTGGCTTATCGGAGAAGGAATTTGAAGTAGAGGACTTGAGGAGTCCCCTGAGACCTCACCCATGCTCCCAGATTAGCTGTTAAACTGCACATAATTGTGCTTCCCTTCGTCTCCCAGAGAGCTATTAGTCTCCCCTTTATACCCCCCCCCCCCAAACACCACCCCACCTGCCCAGACCAGACTTACTGAAGAAACACAGGAACTGATAGACACACGCAAGCACCTTTATTTACGAGTATCCTCATTGAGGCAGATGCACACCTGAGTGCCCACGCAGAGATTTAGTCAACACCCTCGTCCCGTTTCAAATTCAACAAAAATGATTGTAGTTTTGCACCCCTTTCTTTCCGAAACATATTCCGCTCTAATAGGAGACAGACAAAGTATCTGAGTGCTGACATGTTTGCGCTTCAGAGCAAATGCTCTCCGTGAAATATGTGCACGCTGATGTCAAAGTGAGCGCGTTGGTTTAGCATTTAAGCTCCGTGTAATGGGCCATTGACCAGAAGGTCTCCCCAAGGTTAGACACATTGCTGTTGCTACACTAATGCCCTTTTAATGTGCCCAAGAAGTTCCAGCTGGATAAACGGTCACATGCAGTAGAAAACAGGTGAGCCATGCACTGTAAGTCATTTTGGATAAACTCATTTAGTACACCTTGAAATGATGGATTGGTGTGCATGGCGTGTTGGGACACCTGGGGGGGGCCGATTCAGGCGTTGGCTGCTTGGGTCATGGCAAAGAGGGTATGGCAGGTTGGCGCTGAAATCACCATGGGGTTGGCGCCACCGTGCCCCTGCTTACCTCTGTTCCTTTGGCTCATTCTTTTTGGAAAACATTCACATAAACACATGCACACTCACACACACACACACACGTACACACATTAATGCCTGTGCACAGAGGCACTCCGCTGGGCTTTCCCCTGATCTGTTGAACTTGGCGTCTGACTCAGGAACTTGCTATTGAAAAAGCTGGCCCGAGTTTGATGTATTTGACCTTGGTGGTGAGAAGTATTGTAAAGGTTATCAACATGGAAGGGGAAGACCTGCCCCTATTGTTTCCCTTGTGTGCTATTACACCTACAGTCTCAAGCAAACACTTGCTTTAACAAGCAATTAACTGTGTTAATGAGGGCCACATTTCACTGCTAATTGATTTTAATTTTATGGGTATGTCAATTGCAGGATTGTTGCTTTTATTATTTAAATAAGAGCCTGTTTAGCTGTAACTAACAAACAGATAATTATTTTCCTCTTTTTTAGTAGTATCAACAGTTTTATAATGAAACTGCATAACTGGTTCTGCATCATCAGGAATATGAGACCTACATGAGTTAATAAATAATAGGCGGCAAAGCAGCACTTCATTGGTTCTTTGTGCACAGCAAGGTTTTGTCTTGACTCCCATAAAATGTAGTCATAGATGTTTGCATATAAAAGTCACCATTTAATACTGTGAATTGTCTCAGTTGCTGCCTAAAATGTTGACAAACTTATTGTACTTAATATACTAAAAATTACTTTTGACCTGATTAAATGGGTTACTCCAAATTTAGAAATTTTTTCTTTTTCTATACGAGGGCTTTTTCGTTTTTATTTTTGGGATAAATATTTGATAAATATATTTTTATTCCATATATTTCATTGGATGATACATAAGACAGATTATTTTTCACAGAATGGTGAAACTGGAAAATGCAGTTTTGACAACAAGAATAAATAAGGAATTTAGTAGTTTATTTAATTGTTAACAGCCAGACTCAGGGGAAGTCTAATGGCTGTTATATATTTTAGGAAGCTTAATTGTGTGATGGCTGACCCTACAGTATATGTGTGTGTATTTGTGTATGTGCAGACGAGCAGATGTACCGCTGTGAAGACTGTGATGAGCTGTTCTCCTCAACACTTGAGCTGCGGCGGCACCAGAAGTATTCATGCTCCAGTACCGGCTCCATCTTTGACACACTGAGAGAGGACTTCAAACAGGAACGTGAGGACAGCGACGAGCCCGTCCACGAATGTAAAGACTGTGAGAAGATTTTCCCAAATGAGTACAGGTACACAGACGCATGTCAACAATTTCTACCATACTTAAGTACTCATAAAGAGATACACATTCAACACATACAGTCCATTTATCCTATGACTTGTGACTTGTAGGATGTATTGATTTCACTGATGGTCTTGTGCTCTCTTTATCAAGTCTGGGCCAACATATGATAGTCCATACAGAGGAGAGGGAGTACAAGTGTGACCAGTGCCCCAAAGCCTTCAACTGGAAGTCCAACCTCATCCGTCACCAGATGTCACATGACAGTGGCAAGCGTTTTGAGTGTGAAAACTGTGATAAGGTACAGCATACCCGGCACGTAAGTTGTACACCATACACACAGGCTTTATCATCTGCTTCAGAAATTCTGCTGGTCTTGTTTTTTAGGCTTCATTCATAATGGCACTGGACATAGATTTAGTAATTCTGAAAAAAATGCATTTTTCTTGCATCGTTTATCGTATGTTGTATTTTCATACCCTTGTTTCAAATTTCAGGTGTTCACAGATCCCAGCAACCTTCAGCGTCACATCCGCTCCCAGCACGTGGGGGCACGCGCTCACACGTGCCCCGAGTGTGGCAAGACCTTTGCCACCTCGTCAGGCCTCAAGCAGCATAAGCACATCCACAGCAGTGTCAAACCCTTTATCTGTAAGTGAGAGCTTTCCAAGTTAATGACTGCCTTATTCTTAACAGTCCATTTATTTTTTTACCTATTTCTTGTCCACCTCATCTACTTTTTGATCCAGTTTACTTTGTTTGAACCAAGCATACAGGTCAAGGGATCAGATTTCTATTGCTATTAATTTGATTGTATGATGTAAATAATGCATTTGACCTGTTTACTCTTTTTTTCCTAGCAAAAACTTTGACATATAGTTTGGAATACTTCTACAATAGTAATAAAAAAAGCAAAATGAATTACACATATTTTTTAATCATGGATTAGAGTCCAATTGTTCTGCTCTCTTTAAGGTATTTATTTACACATATATTTTATGTTCTTTCTTGCATATGATCAGTTGTTATTGTAAAATACATTCAATGTAGATACAGTAGTTTAGGAACAATTTGGCAGTTTCAATTTGCAGAATGATTGGTGCCATCTACCGATCTGTCCTATAGCTATTTCATCAGCATTTTCCATTCAGATGTATGTGTTGCTATTGATTTGGTATACAAAGTTAGAGACAGTGTTAAAATGGGTTTAACCAGGCCCTGATGGGCTGCCTCTATTTGCTCCCCCAGGCGAGGTGTGCCACAAATCCTACACCCAGTTCTCCAACCTTTGCCGCCACAAGCGTATGCATGCTGACTGCCGTACCCAGATCAAGTGTAAAGACTGTGGGCAGTTGTTCAGCACTACCTCCTCCCTCAACAAGCATCGCCGCTTCTGTGAGGGCAAAAACCATTATGGCACTCCAGCAGGGATGTTCAACCATGGCATCCCCTTGAGCTCTAGCCCCATCATGGCCAAGGTCAAGTCCCATCATCCCCACCTTCAAGGTCTAAACCAGTCAGGTTTAGGCTTCACTGACTACTTTCCCTCCCGACATCACCCTCATGCTGGCTTGCCCTTCTCCCCTGGAGCCCATGGCTTCCCATCCCTACCTCATGGTTTCCCAGGTATCTTCTCCCCATCACTGTATCCGCGACCACCTTTATTGCCGGCTAGCCCCTTGCTAAAGAGCCCGCTGGGCGGCGGCAGTCAGGAGGTGAAATTGCCTCGGAGTCCCTTAGACGCTCCTCCACTGTCCCTGGTTAGCTCCACAAACACCAATGGAGGTAACAGTTCGAATCAGCTGGAAGTCAAAGAAAGAGAGAACAAACTGGATTTGTCTTCTGGAGAAGCCAAGCCCAAATCTAAGATGGCAGACTTGTCTGACGGTAGTGACCTTGAAGATGTTAATACCACAAGTGGTACAGATTTGGACACCACCACCGGTACTGCTTCAGGTGATGGTTCTGACCTGGAGAGCGATGGAGAGAGTGAACGTGAGCGAAGTGGTAAAAGAAGGAAGCCGTCTGGGGCCATATCAAGTCAAGAAGGCCACCAGTTAGAAGACACAGACAGTGCGTTGATAACATCTGTGTCTAGTTCTGGAAACTTTGCTATTGATCGTCCCTTTCAGTTTTCTGCATCATCCCAGCACTCCTTCTTCCCTCCGCCTGATGAGCAAGCCCTCCCGCCCACCCACACAAATCCCAATGCAGTCACCACAGATTCCATCAAAGCCATCGCATCTATTGCTGAGAAATATTTTGGTCCAGGTTTGATTGGTCTCCATCAGGAGAAGAAGATGGGTCCATTGCCCTACCATTCCATGTTTCCCTTCCAGTTTCTGCCCAGCTTCCACAACTCCCTCTACCCCTTCAGCGCTGATCGAGGTGCCCTCAATCCCAGCATGTTCTTTAAGGCAGAGCCCAAGTCACCTCATGAGCAGCTGCACAAGATGGTGTCTGGTGCACCACAAGCTCCTGCTTCCACAGGAGAGTCACCATTTGATCTCACCATAAAGGCCAAGGAGACCAAATTAGCTCATCTCACCCCAACAAACCCCTCAAACCCCAAAAGTAGTACTGGGAGCAGTAGTGGACCTTTAGCAAAATCTAGCGGTGAAGAACAGCCGTTAGACCTGAGCATTGGCGGCCGGAGCCGAGGTGGTCATAATGGTGTGGTAGCTGACCCACAAAATAGAAAGAACCACATATTTGGAGTTGGAAAGGGGGTCTCCATCAAGGACGAAACCCCAGCTGGGTTTCCACATCCACATTCCCAGTCGTTGCACCATTCATCCATCGCCCAGCACCAGCAGCAACACGCACAGCCCCACCAGCCGCCACCCCTGCACTACGCCAAGCCCTCAGCATTCTTCATGGACCCCATATACAGGTATTTTAGCCCCGATTAGACCAGAAACTGCTATTTCCACATGAGCAACCGTAACGCTTTTATGTTCACACATTGAAGGTGTTCAGTGTGTGGGATGAAGTTGTAGATGAACTCTGATCTTGGTACGTAACCCTCTGCCTTTTTGTTGGTTCAGCAGGGTGGAGAAGAGGAAGCTACTCGACCCCGTAGGAGCTCTGAAGGAAAAATTCCTCAGGCCCTCACCGCCACTCTTCCATCCACAGGTAGACTTGCCACACTCATACCCAGCAACATTTCAAATCTAGGAAGGCACTTGGTTCAATCTTAATTAGAAACAGCAAAAGGTACATAAACCTTTGAACAAGAACTACAGCAAGGGAGTACCAAACATGGGAATTGACCTCCAGGTATTGCATAGAGGCTGATTATTCCTAGATACAATTGACTATTATTTTCAAACCATGTATTATGTGAAAATACCTCACTCCTGCCTCCCACGCTGCTGCAACCTGAATTGATAGGGCCCTATGCACCATCATTCCACAGTGTTGATGTTATTTTCTCAAGGGTTCTCTATGATTTCTTCCTTTGTTTACTGAATGGCGCCTGTGTACCTCGTCACTTCTACCTTTTTCAGAAGACACAGTCTGTTATCGCAGCCCCTTTGATAATCAGTCGCATTGTTCGACTGTCCCCAGACCCTCCCTACCTCTACAAGTCTTGATTACAAGGAATGATAGTATTAATAAAAGAGAGAATAATAACCGTTTGAATTGTAACAAACTGCCTCTCTTGGCCACGCTAATCTTAGTTGTGGCATTGTTTCATTCACTGGGAGCCCACAGGCCAGCTAATAACTCAACCCCCTCCAATCTTTTTCTCTGTGGCTGGCTGGCTGGCTAGATAATAGCACCGTGTCCATCAAGGACATCCTGTGTTTGTCTCCAGGAGAATGGGGGGCTCTCGTTGGGGAAACTGTTTAATCTGACCTGGAAATCTGTGTCCTCTATCAACTGTGACTTTGCAAAACACTCATTTGGTGCATAGGCAGACAGATACATTTAGATAAAATGAACATGCATTGTCCTATATGGCATTATACATAATATGTGTGTCGTTTGGACTTTACAAAATGATATAAGAAAAGCTAACACGGATTTATTTTTTCTGTAATTTGTAAACAAAAAAGTATTTAATGGCAACTGTTCTCAGTTACGTTCACCCTGTACTTAACATTGTGTTTTTCATCATATGGCATCATCTCATAATTGATCAATATCCCTGATAAAATGTTTTCACAAGCATTTGTGTCTCAGCTGTGATCCTCCCAGTTAAACAAAAACAATGCCACCTCTAATTCAGTCTCATGTCTGAATCACCCTGCTCCCCCTCCACACGTTCTCAGACTGCGAATAAACACATCGCGACGGAGTGTCTGTCCCCGTCTCTCCCGTCTCGTATTCACTGAAAAAAGGAAGGATGTAAGCTGTTTTTGGCAAATAAACTCCTACATAACTGGCCCCTTTTGTTCACATGCTTGTAGGGGAGGGGAAGTGGTTATCAGTTGGGGGTATCTCAAACTATATTGTACAGCTCCAATCGGGACTCTTAAATGCCTCATTTAGCCAGTCTACAGCAGTAGCAGCTTCAGCAGAAGAACATAAGAGGTAGAGAACAAAGCACTGAAGCTGGAGGTTAGGGTGTATGAAAGGGGGGGGGGGGGGGGGGGGGGGGGGGATGGGGGGGGGGGGGGGGCACTGGAGGAATAGTGCTTGAGCATTTTTTAATGTGTTATAGGTCATAGAGGTGACTCGCTTTTAGCACAATTAACTATTAAGGCTAAACTCTGATATACTGCTTCCTCAAAGCTTGTTTTTTTTCTGACATTGTGTCTTTGTTTTCAGGGCTTCCTTTGCTCTCTCTCTCGCTCTCTCTCTCTCGCTCTCTCTCTCTCTATATATATATATATATATATATAATGGCAGAATTGCTCAATTTAGCTTTCCACTACAAGGTTTCTAATTAAATCTTTAATACACAAATACTGATTTGATTGAATGAATGTGATCCACCTTCTTATCAAAATATTTGCTCTTACCTCTTCCCTTTTTTGTTTTCTACCATCTCCTCAGATGTCAGCCATGGAGAACATGACAGAGAAGCTTGAGAGCTTTGGCGCTCTAAAACTGGATGTGCCGCCCATTTCACTGCAACACGCTCATCCACTGTTCAACTTCCGCTCACCACCACCTTCCCTCTCAGATGCCATCCTCCGCAAGGGCAAGGAGCGTTACTCCTGCAGGTAAGTGCCCTGTGGTGCAGCGTGTTGTTTCCAGTGTTGAGGACATGTTTACATACATGACACTGCACTCTGTTACATAAAATATTTGCAGTGTTGGTAAAATACACTGATTATTTAACCACCCTTTTCCCTGCCTTCCTTTACATTCTCCCCTCCAGGTACTGTGGGAAAATCTTTCCTCGCTCGGCAAACCTCACCAGACACTTGCGGACACATACAGGGGAACAACCCTACAGGTATTCTATTCTAGTTCAGTCTAGTCATCACAGATGTTTTTATTCATTTATTTCCCTTTGTCTGCTTGTCTCACTGCTATTCTCCACACTTGACATCCCTTTGCTTGGCACTGCTTTTGTTCAGTTTTTTTTGCTTGGCTTAATCACTTTCTGGACTAACTTTACTTAGACAGCAATGATCCCAATGAGTTCCAGGCACTGTGGTGTAAATATTGTATTTTTGCAAAGAGAGAGCTCTGAGATCAAATTGGAAATTGCTATTTCCAGATGCCCTGAGTTGAGGAACCAGATCAGTGCATCTTTGGCGGATAAAAGACCCAAAAAATTAACAAAGAAAACTGGATTTAGAGAATGCCATTGGCAACACAGCCACTTTGTAGTTTGAATGATTATAGTTTCTTTCATTGACACAAAAAGTTCCATTGCCTTCCTACTATTCTTTTCATTCCAATTCCTGAAAGATTTTCTGAGTTGCACCACTAAATGTCTAAAACCTATTTTCTGCTTCTTTAAACATACATGTCCTTTTTTTTTTTTAAATGTTTACCTCAGCAGGTGGGTTATAAAATCACCATGAACACACTGCCTCCACCTGTGATTGAAGTCCCTGCTCACTATGTTCTCCTTTGGCAGGTGTAAATACTGTGACCGCTCATTCAGCATCTCATCTAATCTTCAACGCCACGTTCGCAACATCCATAACAAGGAAAAACCCTTCAAGTGTCACCTGTGCAACCGCTGCTTCGGTCAACAAACCAACCTCGACCGTCATCTCAAGAAGCACGAGCACGAGAACATTCCTGGTCAGTTTGCAACATCTTTCAATGTTCTCTGAGAAAAGTGAGGCTGTGAGAACTGAAATGTAGTTATTAACAGGGAGTTGTTATTTGTGTTATGTTAATGGGATGAATAATGAAATGCTCACATTACCCATTGGGAAAATTGTAAATCTTTACATCAAAAAAATGTTAAGCTTGGTGCTGTGAATGATTTGATGTAGGAAAATCACTTAATTAAAGAATTCACACTTGCTTTTCCTACTGCGTTGCCAAAAACAGCCTTTTTATGCCCAGTGTGGAGGAAACATTTTAATTGAATGATTGTGTATTTGAGCGCTTACATTCAAGTGATCCATGCTTCACAATTGTGCTAAATTTGAAATGACACCCTAATGAAACACAGCAATACACTTGGTTTCTACCTCATGCAACTAATTATAAACCAGTGGAGCTGTAAAGGGTTGTGACATCACCAACACACAAACTAACTCGCTCAAATACCAAGAGATGCTATTGTTTGACTTGAGTATGTTAATAAGAGGCAATTCATTGTTGAGCGCCCAGATGTTTTGTTTACCGTGTATCCTTGATTGTTAATTCTGAGTCAAATTGAAGTACACCAGTAGCATCTGCTAAGAGTATGCAACGTAAATTGCAAAGATACAGACTAAGAAAACATACATAACTTAAACACAAACACTGCTATTCTCATATTTTGAAAATGACACCATCCTTTACCCTAAAATACCACTGTGATTCATCCAAAAGCAATGTTATGAAATCTGTAAGAAAAAGAACAAAAATAAGATAATGAAGGGGAAATATTTTTCTAAACCTATAAATGCCCCCTAAATATATAGTCTAAAGTAAGGTTGGAGTTTGACTACACATGCAGTCAAGTCAAACATGTCTTTTAGGAAAAATAAAGGAGTAACCAGCACAGTTTGGTTCAGTGTCACATCCTTTTCTTATATTTTTAGTGTTCCAGGATGAAAACATAGACAAGATTATGGGCTGCCCCCTTTTGTTTGAGGGGTTAACATGCCAACCATTAACTGCTACGTCCCAGTTCAAATCTGGCTGGGGACCTTTGCTGCATCTCTCGCTCCTTTTTTCATGTCATCTCTCCACTATTTCTTTTTGATAAAGACTAATCTAATGTCAAGTGTCACCAAAAAGAAAAAAGCATTTCCTGTGATGCCGTATGTAACAGTGGAATCCATCTTTATACTAAGGTATAGAATTTGTAAGAACACAAATGATATAAAACCTTTTTGATAAAATATATTCAACCCAGTTTCACGACAAGAAAATAGCACAATATCATCCTTTTGTTATATTAAGATGTGAATAATGTGTATAATAGTAATAACAACCACAATATTTATAATTATCCTAAAACTTATCTATTATGTATGTCTGATGATCATCAAACTAATCATGCGTGTGTGTGTGTGTGTGTGTGTGTGTGTGTGTGTGTGTGTGTGTGTGTGTCCATGTGTGGTTATGCGTGTGGATGTGTATGACTGCACGCTTTCCCCAACAGTGAGCCAACAGTCCGGGATGCTTTCCAACCTAGGAACCACCATCTCCTCCCCAAACTCCGAGCCAGACAATCATGCACTTTTAGATGAGAAGGAGGACTCGTACTTCTCAGAAATCCGCAACTTCATTTCCAACAGCGAGATGAACCAGGCCACGAGCTCCACGGATAAGAGGTAACAAGAAAACCTTCAGTGATTACATTTGATCCACGAGGCTAACCTTCTACTCCCCGTGCCAATTCTTACTAAAACCTTATTGTTCTCCAAACTCTAAAGCAAAAAGGTGAAATGTCCTCATTTTGACATGTTCGATATCCCGCCCCTTATCAGGGCATGTAATCCTGACAGGTATGAAAAAGCAGCAACAAACACACATTTTGTTAAACTAAAAGCAACAGTTGTGCTCATAGTTTTTTAGCCCTTTCTTTCTCCCTGTACACAATAACATACATGCTATTACTTGGTGCACAGTGCCCTCCAGTGGCTTGAATTTGTATGGCAGTAGTCACCAACAACAGATTTCATACTGCATACTAACAGTAGTTGCAGCTGCGTTAACAGTTTATCTAAGTGCAGCTTAGAGCCACTGGTATTTAGATTCAACCAAAATATAAAAACAAAGCTCTTACTGCAGCTGCTTTGACACCATCCGCAATTTGTTTTAACTTTTGCAGGTGTGAGCTGCTTCTGATGGTCTTTTGTGCACTGCATTGTCGAACATAGGTGTATTTCAACAGAGCACAAACGTTGATTTAGTGTGCATGACCTGCGTAGAATTGTTTGTTGTAAGGAATTTAGTCACAGCTCATTTCACATAGCCATCAAGGTATTTTTCCCTAGTTTTAAACATTTTAGCCATGTCTAAAGCTTAGACTAGAGCTGTCTTTGTGAAGAATTGCAATTCATACCTGCTGTATGCAGCTGTAGTTGGTAAATGACTCTGCTTACCATTAATTCTGGCAGGATTGATCATCATGTGTGTGTGGCTTTTCTGCACTCTAAAACTTGTGAAATTATGAAAATGGTTGGTCTATTTTTCAACCAAACAGGCACCCTGTTTTAAGTCCTGAAATGCCTTCAGTGTTAGTCGCTCAGTTGGTGGGAAGCTTCAGGAAAGAAGAGGGTATTTGGGGGAAAAAGGAGTATGAAATGTTTTTTCTGTTCCAGTGTTAGTTTACCTCTTTCCTTGACTCTTTACACTCTTCATCTCGCTCTCATTCTCTATGTGAATTCCTTTCTGGTAGTCTCACTTTTTGTCTGTCTCTTTCTCCATCATTCTCCGCCTCCTACTTGTCAACATGCATTATGGCCAGCAGACCCAGTGGCAATTTAGCCCCTCTGCCATCTGGGATCAATACTAGGTCTCATCCACAACAAGCTGGCCTGACATTTTAATGTCTGTAATTATGTATTATTCTTTCTGTCCACCCACCAGACAGCCTGCTGTTTATTCTCCCTCTGAGTGACTTAAGTCAAACGCCGAACACACGTTCATGGATGACTATCTGTAATCACTTTTAACCGCCCTTGCAACCTATTTTCTCCCCTTTTTCAGCATCATAGCCAGTCAAAATAAAAAGTCCCTGGTAGCTCTTGTTTTCACATGAAAACTTTGGCCAGTTTCCAAGCTGGGGATGTTGGAGATGCTGAGGCAGCACTGCTGCTCTAAGTGAGGGAAGTTTAAAAGACACAAGCTAGGGAGTTTAGATGACATAAAATATTATATTATATCCCCATTACTGCAGTGTTGAAGGACTAAGAGGTATCTGTCTCCTCGAGACCGTAATCCAGGTTATAATTAGGGCTGGAATGAGGACCCAGGCCGTGGCTTCAGTTCTATGGTTTTGGATAAAACTACAGTTGGAGCTGGTTCCTTGTCTGGGACTGGGCTACAATGGCTAAACTCAGGTTTAGGAATTTGTCTAGGAGATCCACTGATGATGGAGCTCTTCCCCCATCCACCCGCTATATCCATACCCCCAGCCAGCTAACACAAACACCCAACTGACGTGTTTAGACTAAATGACAAAACCCAGGGCCCCCCTGTCAGAGCTACGCTTCTTTCTCTGTACATAGGCATGGACTTTCCCCCCACCAACCAGCTCTGCAATTTGATTATAGTGATATTTAATCTAGATTGAAAGAGGAGAACTTTTCTCCCCCCCACCCCCACAAAGTCCCCTTACCCGCATTTACCCACCCACTGTGTGTGACCCAATCCTGTCCCTGTGCACCCCTTCCCAGAGGTAACCCTGTCTGATTTGATAAATGTCCACTGTGTGGCAAAAATGGAAGGGGTAGATTTGCCGTCCCAGAGGAAATGATATCATGAGCCATGACATCGTGGTCTGGGGGTGATGGGGGGGGGTTGGGGTGCTGGCTGGAAAATGTACAGATGGCAGGTCGTAATGGTGGTGTGCTGATAGCTTGTTTGCAGATCAGCCATCGTCTTCCCTCAGTCACACAATGTATATTCCACCATTACGGGGTGTAGAGGAGCCGGTCTGCAGCGGGCCATCTCCTGTTCTGTTTCTAAGGAGCCGGTCAATTAATCATGTGTCGGCGTTTGAAAAGCGCTCCGGGCAGACTGTCAGCACCCATGTTGTTTGTGTGGACACTGGCCTTGGACTGTGCATGCTGTCAACCGATTATTTAGGTTTCACTCTCTGCTTGTGATGAGTCATGTCTTTTAAATGGTCAGGAAATGGTAACAGCCACCCAGCTTTAGACTGGACAGAAAGCTAAAACTAAGACTAAAACAAGTCCTTCTCACTTTTCAATCTGGTAAGAATTAAGAAGAGCACTCAGCGATGGAAATTTGCAAATATGGTTTTGATAATTTGGAACAAAAGAAAAACAAAATCAATGCAGTAAAACCAGAGATATGCTCCATTTTAATTCCATTATTGATCTTTCTCTGAAAAAGCCTGGCTACTACACTACCCATGATTCTGATTTTTAGCGTCTTTCTCCTTTAAGCCCTCCCTAATTGGCTCGGTAAGCTGCTCACATGCAGCTATAAGAGCCAAAAACAACTTCAGACTGTTTGTTTTTTGCCTTGCACAATTTTAGAAACTTAGTCTTTTGCTTTTGTAGCAATGTTTGAGGTTTTTTTCCACAGGGAGCATGCAGCACCACAAACCATATATACATTACTTCACATGATGTCTAAATGGCTGTTTCTTATACTGAAATATCACTAATACGGGAGGAGAAAGGTAGTCTTTTTAGGAACGGTTGCCAACATCACTAACACTTCCTCTCTACTTTGACCTTTGATCCCTCTGCAGGTCAGACCAGGCTGAGGAGGAACACCCACCGAGCTACAGTTTGTCCAACTCTAAGCTAGGGCTCCGGGGGCTAGAGGAGGAGGAAGACGAAGTGGAGGGCGACGATGAGGAGGAGGAGGAAGGCAGCCTGACAGAGAAGTCTCACGATGAGGCGCCCGAGTCCCCATCTCCCGTCACGACGGGAGTGTATGAGGAGGACGAGGAGGAGGAAGAGACGGAGACAGCTCCATTAGCTATGGGCTATGAACACACTCGCAGGTATTTATTTTGTTAATTATACAGAAAACCACATAAGTCAGTGTTGGTGGACACTCTACTATCTACACCTAATAACCACGGCAAATGTACCCCTTATCTATTAAACAACCTTTAAACAGAAACAGACAGTTGTATATTTTTCAATTATAACTACTGCCACTTCTAAACAGTAGGAAGAAGTAAAACATGGATTGATATAGATTCCTTTCACAGACACCCAAAACAAAAAACGACTTTCTGCTTCAGCTCCTACTCTTCTGTCCTTTTCCTTCTCTCAATGTATTCCCTCTACCGGTCCTTTTATTGATCGTACCTCTCCTTTTCTCTTCTCCTCATGTTTTCCTTCACTTTAACTTCCTCCTTTCATCCCCCCCACCCCCCTCCATTGCATTAATTCTCCATCTATCCATTTCCTGGTGTCTATCTTCCATTTACCCATCCATCCGTCTATCAACCAACCCATCCATACTGCCCTATTTCTGCCATCCATCCATCCACGGTGTGCAGGTGTATAGAGGAAGGCTCTCTCTTGGACCTGGAGGGTCTGCCCAGCTTTCCCAAGAGTCTGGAGGGGTTACGTAAAGCAGCCAATGATGAGCAACCCTTTGATGTTAAAGACATATTTAACACTTCACTAGAGTCGGAGGCATTGAAAGAGACATTGTACAGGCAGGCTAAAACCCAGGTATGTGAAGAAAGAGGGAAGGAAACGCATGTTGTTCTGATTGGACAGGAGGAAGGACAAAATGCTTCCTGTGGCTACAGAGAAAAGGGAAGATGATTAGGCCTGGGTGATAATTCAATATAATAATTTATTGTCTTTCAATGGAATCATACTGTGAGGAAATCGTATATTGAGATATCGCGATACACAATATTTAACTATTCATCTAAATTGATGATAACAACCACATACTGACTCAAATTTCTCAGAAAATCTGAATCAGTAAGAATTCTGCTTCGGGAATACCCCATATAAACATAGTCAATGTAAAGCTGGAAATATTTATTCATTGCTTCTCTATAATTTGACTTGAAACTGTCACGTTCACAAGTTCTTAATAAAACAAGAAAATCATTTTCATTTGTCTGTATTTGAGAATTTGACTCACGCAGGACTAGACAAAAATTGTTTTTTCCATGTGGTTATTCCATATAGACTATTTATCTATTTAATCACCAGAAAACGTGCTATATCATGATATATGTCGTTATAAACTTAGGAAATTACCTATATTGTGATGGAAGATTTTGGCCATATCGCACAGCTCTAGATGAGATGGATTCTTTCACATTTTCAGATGCTTAAGGAAAGAAAAGGTTGTTAAGTCAGGCTGAAGTGCCTCTTGTCCTGCTCTCTCTCGTCTTTTCCTCTCACTTAACTGACTCACATATTACCTGTACCCTGCTCTTTACTGTGATCTTCAGTCTTAAAACAGTCTAATGAAGAACATAATTATCGGGTATATTGTCAAGAAATGATGGTATGATGTGGTGTGGTGTCCTGAATTGTGAAGCAATTTGTAAAGTCTGTTTCAATATGAGCACTATAATCAATCATTAATAATCTGTCTGATTTTGAATAATGATGATTGAGCTATCACCGTGATGATGGTTTACGCCGGCATAGTTTCTCAATGGCGGTCCTCAGGAACATTTTCTGCAACCCCTGAACGTGACATGAAATGTATGCATTATATTTGAATCGTCTGTGCTCCATTTGAATACTTTCTCTGTCAATAGTCTGCATTTAATACACTAAGCTCGGCTACTTCTTCAAGCTGTGCTGTTACCTAAAGTTAGCAATCTCAGTGGACAGCTTGGCAGTATAATGCGGACGTGAAATGGAAACAATATTTTGTAGGTGTGCACTTTAACTGTGCAGCAACCATATCATATGCTGGCTCGTTAAATTGGCACTCAGTCATTAAAACTTTGAGAACCTAGAACTTTGAGAATATAGTGTAGTATGTCACAAAAGCTGCCGTAAAAATATCATAGTATGGTATGTCATAAAAAAGGGTCAGTATAGTATCTCATAAAAAGAAATATAATGAAAAAACATTATTGTACAAAATGCCATAAAGGTATCCAAGTATAGTATGCCATAAAAATGCATAAAATGACATAGCACAGATGTCACAAAAACGGTCAAATCATAATTTAGTTTGCCATAAAATGCATAGTATAGTATTCTATTAAAAAAAGCAATAGAAATAGTATAAAGTATGCCATAAAAAATGTCATCATATATGTATGTCACAAAAAAATCATATAAAATCTGCCATAAAAATGTTACAAAAATTCTGTTAGTGTAGTATGTCATAAAAAAGTCACAAAAATCATAAGACAATGTCATAATATATATTCATAATATTTAAAAAATGTCATAAAAAAGTCTTAGTATAGTATGTCCTAAAACAATTCATAAAATATCAAAACATGTATAGTATAGTATGCCATACAAATGACATTTGACAGAGAGAAATGTTCCTAAAAATGAGCGTTTGAAAGTATTGCGTTTCCTCCTGTGAAAAGTAACCTGTCTTCTCCCGCAGGCTTATGCAATGATGCTGTCTCTCTCGGAGAACAAACCTTTGCACGCGCCCTCCCAGAACTCCCTGGATGCTTGGCTGAGCATGGGAGGTGGACCGTCCGAGACGAGCAGCTTTCACCCGCTCAACCACATCTAGACGAGAGAGCGGAAGCGGTAGAAAGAGTAGGGGAAACATTGGTTTCGCAAAATGGATAGAACAAGAGACAGAGTGGACATGAGTAGTGAGAGACGTGGACACTAGAGAAGAATTCTGTGTCACATTCATTCAAGATAGAAAGGATATGTTTGTGTGGAGATGTGCGTGTGTGCGTGTGTGTGTGTGTGCGTGTAGATGTGAGTGAGAGAGAGGAGGGACCCTTGGTGAGACATCTCACAAGACTCAAAAAGAAAGCACTGCTAAGCTCCTGTTGATGTGAAGGACATGCTAAATGCTTCTCAACAGCATTGAAACTCTGCATTACTCTGATCCTCCCCAAGTCCACAAGGCTCACTCCAGCACCATAGAGACCCAACGTAAGGCTCTCAAAGACACTTAATGACTAGTATGTCTCTAAAGTCTGTGTACACCGCCTACTACAAGCACTGCAGCATCAGCCCTGCATTAGCACTGCATGTCCACAAGGTGTTGGTGTTTCACCAGGAACATATAGTGGGCGCGTGCACTATTGTCTCCAGGTTTCCCTCACCAATCACGGGCGAGTCATGTACTGATCTTATTTCAGCTATAACTGCACCACACTAAATGTTACTTGAGGGAATCCAAGTTCCAGTAGACTTGTTTTTTTTTTTTAATGATTACATGGAGAATGATGTTCAATGTTCAAATGTGCACAGCAACTGGTGATTTTGATGAGCTATCTGGGACACTAGCCATTGTAATTGGTTACCCAATTTGATCACGCTGAAAATGAATTCAAATCATACTCAAAAAAATGAGGAAAGTCTTTCTCTGCTTGTTTATTTCATCGACATTTGTTAATTTTATTTTATTCCTCTCCTCTTAGATACCACAGTATTGTTTTTGTAGGCACCACCGTGCTAAATTGTTAATATAATTATTTTAGAGAAGGACCAAAATTCTATGATATTGACATATGATGTACAAAATAACCTAGATGTTCATAGCAAGAGTGGTATGTGCCAAATAACCCATAGAAAATGTTTTGTTCTCTGACAATCATTTCATTTCCAAGGGGCTTGCATTTGCTGTCATAGTTTTTTTTCTTTTCTTATTATTACGCTCTTATATATTTGATTTCAGAAATGTGTGTGTATGTATTTATTTTTGGTTGTTTTGTCATGACTGGAGGAGTGAAAATGAAGGCATGTCATTTTATCCCTCTTTTCTTGATGCTGAAGGAATGAACGCCAGAAAGTGAGGGAGATTCTGAATCTCTTTGGATGCGTTAGTGTGCCAAAATGGAAAGAACCCATGAAATGAATTGTTTTTATTTATAGTGAAATATAGCTGTAGTTAGTTTTAGATCCTATTTGGCAACGTATCGTCCTGCAGTGTTTAGTTTTTTTCTTGTTTCAGTTCAACCATTTTACCCAGTATGCTGAATGTTTCTTGTTCGAATTGGTTCAAGTATTATGGGGGGGTCAAACTTGGACAACTTTCAGAAATGTCAGAAAAGGGGCATTGCGTTGTCAAATTATTGAATCCGACTAGTTTCTACCACATCAAGCTCCCTTTCCCACTTGGTTTTTCATTTGATATATTTAGTGTAAACAATTAATATTCTTTTTATAATAAGTTGTCCTTTATTACATGGTCCAACAGTCTAAAACACTCAGTCACGTCTGAATGAACATCTAGTCTTCACTGCACTGAAGCAACAGAAAAGCTGGTCATGCAAGAATGGAATCAAGGTCTCATGAAACCAAAAAAAAAAGCATAAACTTAACCACATATAGTGTTAAAATGAATATCATAATTATGCTGGATTGTCCTTCCAAAACATGCAGAACAATATCTTCATTTTAAATTCTGGACAGGGATAAACAGAAACACTTGATTGTGAGTTTAACTTTATATTCCCTGATATTCTTCTCAGATCATAATAAAAGCTCATTCCATGGGGTCGATTGGGTAGCAGTGCTTTGGAGGGCATGACTCATGGGTACTGTAGATAACTGTAGATAGCTGCTGAAACGGGGGGGGGGGGGGGGGGGGGGGG